CTACCGCAAAATTTCACGGTTTATTTTATTCTTGTGCGTCAAGAGTTGCAATAAAGAGCTCCCTAGACCTTAGGGAATTTCACTCATTTTTTGCAACTAACTCATAAAGTAAACGCAAAAACTTGTTTTTTTTAGAAAATTAGTTACCAACCATTTTAAATAATGAAAAAGTGCAGAAAATTAACCAAGGAAGTTGGTAATATTGTTTCACTTTTTGCAGCTGTGTCCATATTGACTTATTAAATATTTGTGTGGAAGCCTCCACCTACCTCGACGTTGGTCAACACTGATTGTGCGTAATTGGTGATCGTGATCAATTTCAATCTAACTCAGTTATTTCAACTCACGATCAGGTAACTTTTGTCCCTCGTAAGCGTGAAAGTATAAAAGCATTGCAAATTGGTTTAAAAATAAATGCAAAATTTGGTAGAAACCACTTATATAGACCAACATTTGAAAAAAACTATGTCGTGAGATAGTAACACTCTTTCACAACTTAATGTTTCATTATGTGTTCACCGAACAGACCAAATCTGAAACGCGTTTTCAAGTTTGTGCTAGGAAACCGTTGTATCGTCATGACAAGTTAGCACAACAAATCACTAGTATACAATTTCGGTTTGTTTATTTAAGGCACTTTCAGTTATACACTGAGCACGCCGGTCTTTCGCGGCATTAAGGTACTTTTAATAAAAGTACGGAAATTTGTAAAACCCCTTTTTTGGGGCTAGCATGCTTTCTTTTTCGTTGGTATCATTTTTTATATCTACTCCACAATCCCAGTTACCGAAGATTTTTCGCTACTTGCAAACTTAAATTTTGACAGCAATTGCAACGTTTATAGACGGTCTCACGGGAGCTCAAATAAGCGAGTTTTGCTATAAACACGTTTAGATAAACATGCCAGGGTCTAGTGGCCAAAAAGCAATTTAAAAATAGCCGGCTGAAACCAAAATAGTAAAGGCGTTATTTAACGTGCGATCTCAGGGAGTTGTTGATGGCACAGCTAAACTCACTTAAAAGGTTGCTAATCCAACCGAAAAACCGGAGTGTAGGGGTTCCATAACTTGTCTGCTAGACGCCAACGGGCAACAGTGGTAAAGTTAATTGCAGAAACACGCAAACTTGATTCCGTACAATAACGCCTCCTTATTTTTGTTTCATGTAATGTTTGATTATGGGAACATTATTCCGTAATATGCACTGAGTTGTTAATAAGACCTGATGAGATTTGACTAAATTTTGACATCGTGTTTCTGTTACACTTTGCCTGTGACTGAAACCACACACATAGATAGCCGGTATTCCAGATCGCTTGTCTGGCCCTTGACCCCTCACCTTCTCACACTGATGTGCAGGTTTTTTAGTGTCTCAACCAAAGGCAGAGTGAGATGTCGGAATGCACCCATTTATATATGTCAAGGATGACCTTGACCGGATAGATCGAGTGGTACTAACACAGATGGGGCTATCATCTGGGTCACCCATTGAAGTGGCTTGGTTCGGGAATTCTGTAAAAAATGCCGAACTTCTGATCCGGGCTGAGACGTCTTGGGGAGTGCTGAATCCCCAGCAGTGTCCAACTCACTTTTGACTGGCCATCCCCTTAACTACATGGGGTACCAAACGATGACCTTGAAACAGCAAAAACCCGGAATTTCGTTCACAAGTTTAGCAGAAGTGAAAAAGGAAGGCCTTACTGATTCCTTCCATGATACCGACGTAGGTCTGGCCAAAGTTGCGTGTCCTGGCTCGATCCTCGCCTCAGGACAAGTACGTGCTGGTAAACGGCATCATCGGGAGCCGCCTACACCCCAACCGAGAAGTGGTCGCCGTCACGGGCGACGGAACCAACGATGGACCGGCGTTGAAGCGCGCGGACGTGGGCTTCGCGATGGGAATCGCCGGCACCGACGTGGCCAGAGAGGCCTCGGACATCATCCTCACGGACGACAACTTCAGCAGCATCGTGAAGGCAGTTATGTGGGGGCGCAATGTCTACGACTCGATTGCAAAATTCCTTCAATTTCAACTCACCGTCAATGTGGTGGCGGTCGTCGTGGCTTTTGCCGGAGCGTGCATTATCACCGTGAGTGGAGTGCAAGAGTTCCACTCAATTAGTCCACTTAACTAGCATCTTTTTGACAAACAAAGTTTTGCGTGTATCAGTGGATGATTCTAGTTTCAACTTAGTTACAAAGTTTTAAACATTCCTATTTGGACTCATTGCAAATTTATTGCAAAAACAAAATTTCTTGAATTAGCTATTTTGAACAAGCTTTCTCTCTCCCTAAATTACTCTTTATTAGGCTATTTATAAAGAAAGGAGACTCAAAATAATTAAATTATCCTGGAGCAAACTTTTGAAAATGTTTTTTTTTTCTAGATTCCACTTTCGGAATTAATGTCACCTTAATGTATCAAGACGTAAAATTAGACTAGCTCTGTCATTCTGCTTCTGCAGGCAAAAACTTTGTCATCTATGTCCCGATTCTTCATTCAAAACTTCAAATTTTATCCAAATTGTCCCAACGAAAAAGAAAACAAATGGGTGAAAATTAACGAATCAGCGTTTTTTGCTTTTTTCACGACTCAAGTGAGTCCACTATGGTTTGTACTAGCTAAGAACGCTCGTACCAGTGTAGTCATTAATCACTTTTATAAATAGATTTGACACAAGTGAGCCAGTTCGAGTTTAATTAAGCGTTGGTTAGATGATAATGGAAATTGGTACTTGGGTTCCACACATAGCAGAAGCATGTACTCTCCATTTACAACCATATTGTTAGCTAACCGTCAGCTAAATGATTTATGTCTAAACTTCCCGGTTGGTTAGTGTTTAAAATGGAAAGTGAAGTCACATTTTATCGTGTCATTTTGATAAGTGTACAAAATGACGAGTGTTGAGGATGAAACTGTTAATGTTTGAGAGGATTGTTTGAATCGCGCTACCGTTCACAGGGCAGATAAAAGCGGTTTAGTAGATGTAAAAATGAGGATTAGCATTGAAGACTAATTTACCTGTGATTAGGGGGATTGCGTTACACAGAATACCACTGAATAGATTACCATACAATTAGGTGATAACGATTCGACTGGATTTGGCATTTAACGGCTATTTGGATGTGCCTTAGAAATCGATACACATTTTGACAGAACGGAACAAATTAATCGATACTTCTGCCATTCTTCCCGATGGTTGACAGAACAAACCCTTCTTAGACTAAACCATAATCCGACGCGGGAAGTGGATGTGAAAGTTAAAAAAAAAACAATTTTTTACTAAGTCCTTTTCAGTGATCGGGCAATAAGTGTGAAACAGTTTGGAAGCACAAGCGAAACGTCAGAATTTGCTCTATCAAAAAAGATACTATTCAACCACGACAAAGTTAGGCGATGAAGGGTGAATTTCCTCCAACAATCTGTTGACTTTAAGGCCTTCTTTACAGAGAATTCACACACAGAATGGGCAAAGAAAGTTGTTTTGGGGACTGTACAACTCTGGGAGACAGATACTGAAAGTGGGGAAGAGTGCATCATTAATTAATCAGCGCTTTGTGTCATTAATTATGTGTTTTACTTAATTTGGTTACAACTACCTAATATCCATGAATCCTCTATTGCATTTTAGTTGTTTGTATGGATGCATCTGTGCACAGTTAACGGGTTATTTAATCTGCATAATTAAGGTTGAACAAATGGGATTGGGAGAACGACATTCAGCGTCCCTTGAACAAATCAGTGTACTTGTTTAGTAATACACTAGCACATACAACTGCATTGCCTTTTTGCAAGTAGGGGAAAACCTTTCGTTGTGAATCGTGTTTATACACACTCCTTAATCCGGTCGCTCCAGCCTCCGACACAGGGTTCCCCTTGCCGCAGCATGTCGCCAGCCGCGCGGATCCTCAATTCTTCCATTATTAGAGCGAACGATTATACTGTTAGCACATCTATGACTCATATATCTTAGGTATAAATCCACACGCGCAAGCCCCACACACGACACAGCGACACGAATGTGGCGGAGCTTTGAAGTAAACGGTTGTGTCCACGTTCTCTCTCGTGTCCTTTTCTTCATCGTGGGTATCAGGGAAGCGTAATCGGGCCAGGGTTAATTCAGTGGCTCCGGCGTGGTTCAAGACCACATGCTGGGGCCCACAACATTCTCAAGTCTTCTTGTTCAACATTTCGTGGTATGAGCGAATATCTTGGCTTGTCCATAACGTGGTGTTCCCTTGTTTGCTCATCTAATGAAAAATCCAAAAAAGAACGCTAAATCTGAGTACGAACTGTGAATCCAAGAGGCTAATGCTTGAGCTGGTGATAGGCCAATCATCTCATAAGTTTTAGGTCAGGAATATCGATAGTCTGCAAGAATAGGCACGATTTCTGCAAAAAAACCACGATTGAATGATTGTATGAGTTGTATTTTTGAGTGAAACTTTGCAACAAACTACATTCCCTTTTCATTGAAACAAGTAATCGGCGGACAGCGGCCTTTGAAACTTGTTATCGTGTGACCAGTTGGTGTTTTGAATTCGAACATTTGACTCTAAGCAGGGGAATGTGCGTAAATATCTCATCCATCTTACGCAGTGAATTCTTAGACGAAAATCCTGTGTCACTATTGACTTGAATTTGAAGTAGCTACTACAAACCTCGAAGGAAATCGAGCAATCTCAGTGCTTGTAGGCTTTTGAAATAAAGTAATTAGAAGTAGGAATGTTTCTGATGGCGTGTAATGCTCTGCCTGCAGGACAGCCCGTTAAAAGCGGTCCAGATGCTGTGGGTGAATTTAATCATGGACACGCTGGCATCCCTTGCGCTGGCGACCGAGCTCCCAACCGAAGACCTCCTGGAGCGCGCTCCCTACGGCCGGACGAAGCCCCTCATCAGTCGCTCCATGATGAAATTCATCATCGGTCAAGCCGTCTACCAAATCGCCGTCATTTTTGTTCTCCTTTGGGCAGGTACAGTGGCAAATTCGCAGATCAAAATGAATGCCTGAGTTCTGGAACAGTCATTTTCTCCTGTAGCTGTCAAAAAACTAGCATGAAGGGTCTCGGTTTTCTGATTTGTGGAAACTCCTTAGAGCTGAACAACTGGTTTTGAATTTGCAAAACGCACTGTTAAGAAGTGTGTGCTAAGTGACTTACTCACTCGATTCAACACACCGGTTTAGATTAAAACTGGGAAATAAACGCGTGAAGACGAGGAACAGTCTGCGCCTAATGACACGAAAACATAGAACGAATTGGCTTAAAAGGCTCGCATAACTCAGTCACTCGTAGGTTAGGGCGTGGAAAGCATTCCTAATCCTGTCAAAAGTACATTTTTTATTTCCGCATAAAGTAATTTAACAATACACAAAGTTCACTTAGATGTACTTATAGTATTTCCCCATGTTAAACAAGACGCATGTTTCTGTGAAGATTGTAAGGACAGTTAATCATGACTCTGTCAAAGTTTTACTCCAAAAATAACGATTCTGATCGTTTAAACACATTTCTACTTATTTTCAATTGTAATAATAGATCAGTATATCGAAGACCCCTTAATCACTCTTTGCAGTCTAGTTAACACTGTATTTATTTTCCCAATTTCACAACCCTCGTCCGAAAACCGAGTTTCTTCACGATTCAGCTGACTAACACTAGTTTTTCTGTCCAAGCTAAAAGTCTGGTGTTTTTTTGGAAGGTAATGCCAATAAAATTGAACTGTGCTAATCCACAAAATTATTTCTTTTTCTATCTTTGTCTTTATCTGAATCTTTGCGTCTCATCTGATAAGCCAACATTTACCTAAAATGCTTTCGTGACTAGTTGACTTATAGTCTTTAAGCTAAGTCTAGTGATTTTTTTGTGTGAGTGTGCAAAACCACGATTAGTCCATGTTATAATTTGTTTCGTCTTTAATTGCAGTTTTTTTTACGCAAAATGCGGAAAAATTTAGAAGTAATTGACATTTAAGGCAATTTATTTACCTCTCCCTCCTGCTGATTGTCTAACTTACTTTGCCTGCTGCAACTCATACCCCAATTTTGCGTGCCTCTTGTCAAATTCCATCACGTTTTGCACTTAGTCTGATTCTCCGTGTCTTCCATGCTTATTTTAAGTGTAATCTTTGTGGAAATGAGAGCAAACGTGGTCATGCGCTAGTTGAATTGTGCCAATCAATTATCTAATTGCTTAGCATTAGCATAATGCACATTTTTGCAAACGCCTTGGTTGAAAGCGTGTTCTTAAATCAGCCCTCAAAGTGCTAGTTTTTCGTCTGAAAATGTTTAAAGGTACCACAATTCATCTTGTGCTCATTTTCGATATGTACGATGTTTCCATCTAACCATTTTTGCCATGAACTTTGATAAAAAAAACGCTCGATTTGGATTTCTAAGCATTTGAGAGAATGAGTTAAAGAGAATAATTGCAATTCAGCCTAGTTGGTTGACCAATCAAAAATGATTCCTTGGCTAATTAGTTGAATCCGCCTATCATTGACTCTACTGGAGTCGCAATCTAAGCCCAAATGTCACAGCCCATCGTTTCAGTCACAACTAAATGCATCGGGAAGAAGCTAGATCAAGCAGATTATGCCAACACATCCTCGGATGACAAACCTTGCCCTACCAGACTAATGCCCATCACTGTCGTTTATCCCACTTGACAGCTCAAGGACAATTTTTCACACATGAAAGTCCTCTAGTATCGAATTTCGTCCCATCCACAAACGGGTGACTGTCAAGCCAACTTTTAAGTTTCAAATTTCGTTTTTGTGACACCGTGAAGAGCCAAACACATGGCATCGTCCATTTGGTTAAAATGATACTTTCATATTCGTAAAGCACGTTTCTACGGTCTCATGCCCGTGTCCAGTTCTTTTGTAAAATTTCGATTTTTTCGTAACAAAAAAACTGCTCCAGTGAGTTTCTTAGGGTATGCGCTGCTCAAAACTTTATAAATCCAGCAGGTGAGTACATATTGCACGTGGACAACGCGCAGCTTCTGACTGAGAGCGGAATAAGGGGTCCGTCGAGGCACTTCACCGCCATCTTCAACACCCTCGTGATGATGACCCTCTTCAATGAGATCAACGCTCGAAAAATCCACGGCCAACGCAACGCCTTTTCGGGTGTCCAAAAGAACCTCCTCTTTTCGGGCATCTGGCTGGCAACTTTCATTGGCCAGGTGAGGATTTAACGTGGTTTCCTCGAGTCGCTGCCGATAAACCGCTTTCATTTCCGCTACACCCCAGGATTTAGGTGTAAGGCAACGGAATATTTGTCATGACCACGCATTACTCATCACAGTCATAATATGCTACAATTCGTTCTAGCTTTGACTTTCATTTATCATAAATGCCACGTGAAACTGTCATGGTGCGATAAATAAAATCATGCAACATGTGCTCGATAAAATCTTTAATTTGCAAACATTGTGTTAAATTATTGATAAAGAGTAGAAGAAATTGAAGTGAATAGCGGTCTTCATGTTCTATGCATAAACGAATGTTTCAAATCCCTTGGTACATGGTAGACACGATCCAATGACAAAGTGTTGGACATGGAGTTGAGTTATATTTTAATCTCCACTCTCTTTGCCTAAGCTAAAACAAGCATTTTCAGGTGAAGAAGCTAAAGAAAAATTGTTAATAATTTGTCGTATGGAAACCTGAAACCAGAAATGTTCTGCTCTGTTCTTACTAGATTTGCTATTATCTGTAATTGCAGTTTTGCTTTAGAAAAAATACGCTGAGCCCTCAATTATGCCAAAAATGCTTCCTCTTAAACTCGTCAAAGGTGGTTTCAGTTCTTACTAGTTTTAAAATTAGTTCTAACCTAACTGAAGGGCAAAAACCATGCCAATTATGAGAGACGGTGGACTGCGACAAAAACCAAATTGTGTGAACGGTCTTGTCGGTTGAAGATTTCTGGAACGAATCGTCAGTGGACGTGTTTTGGTGGAAACTCTTTATTACGGGTTTACCTCACGTTGGTTGGTATTCATGACTCGTTCCCCAAACCTACATTGGTCACCGACCTGTCACGATTGTACCCGGTATGTTGATGCGAATCCGTGAGCTAATAATTGGAACCTTCTATTTGGCACGTCGAAGCCTTCCTAGAATAACACAGGACTAGAGTTTGTTGGAGGGCTATACCGTCTGAATCAGAGTTCGAGCACAAGATTGAGCTAAAGGGGAAATTGAGTAGATGTTCAGATGTGCCCAGTTGTACATTTTCTTGGGTGATCTGAGATTGATGCGTTGTGTGACTAACACAGGGTGACGGGTTGTTGCTGTGACCAACGATGTGGCGTGACATCAGAGTTACACTAGCAATCACTGTGTTAAATTGGTTGTCTTGGTAAATGCTGACATCTCCAGCACGTTCACGACTACTCTATAAACACACTCACAGGTACAATGACACCCATCATGCATTTGTGGAGTAGAAACGATTTTATACAGACCCTTCCATGTTCTCGAGTCTTTTGGTGTCAACCAGCAACTTGATTTTAAGGGAAATGAGCATTTCTGTGGTGAGTTATTAGATCAGTACAGTGATTCTCAAGGCCACTCATATTTACCTTCGAGACCATGCGCGTGGCAGAATAAAAAAAAGGGCGTAACACATTCACAAACAATCAGTTAGCGATAAATCACAAATGTTTGGTAACCACAGCTGTTGGTCAGAATATGGTGCGAAAACTGGCATTGTTAGACACCATAAACATTGCTTTTCTCGACTATGCGGAGTAGCAACGTGACAGGATGAAAAAAATGTGGCCACAAATACATTTTTTTCAGTCACCTACTTTGTGGGCGCGTTATTGAACAAGAAGCTTCGCTAATGGCTTTCGCTGCACATGTCCGATGTTCAGGATTTGTGGGGTTTAATCAACAAACGTTTGGTAAACTGGTTTATTTGAACAGTTTACAGGATTAGCGCTTCTTCCGATTACGTAATTTTAGGATGCAAAAAATAGGCTTGACAACGTCCACGCCTGATTCTGATTGCAATGCAATTAAAAACACACCTGATTTCTCAAAATTAAAATATTATTTTTCACAAAAATAAATGTCGCCATCAGCGACTTGTCCCAGTTAGCTGTTTTAAGCAACACTGTTCATGTTTTGCATCATTGCTTTGCTATTCGTGACCAGAAGTGAGTTGTCTGTTTCAACGGTATTTTCGCACGCGGATAATTTGCTCTGCTGTTGTCTGTAGATTCTGATTGTCCAGTTCGGTGGAGTGGCGCTGAATACAACGCCCCTGGACATCGAGCAGTGGATGTGGTGCGTGTTTTTTGGACTGGGAACACTCGTCTGGGGCCAGGTACGTTGCACTTCCCTCAAAGACATCAAACGCATTTAAAATGGTACGTGGTTTATAACCTACGCTGGATACTGTTTTACTATTGGTTGGGTGTATTCCGTTCAAGGACAGCTAATATGTTAGCCGCAAAACAAAACATTTTATTAAGGTGTGGAATTCAAACGCCAATTGAGAAGCAGGTCTTCAGTTGCTCCAATCAGCTAATACCTAGTAGTCATTGGCCAATGGGAGACGAAGAAAGTTTATTTTATCAGAAAGACATGGTTTTATTATCTTTTGTGTAGGAAAAATAAATCATATATCACAAATCGCTAACCGTCCACTTATGCTTCATCATGCATTTGCTCATTTACAGCATGATTTATTACAGTGCTTCAACTTTCATGATGTTGAATCAGTTCAGGCTACCAAAACATAATTTCATGATTAACATTGCCTGGGTTTTCCTTCTCGTATTTTGACCAATATTGCAACCAAATTTGTCATAACAGCCTTTTATCTAGTGGGATGCAAAACGTTTTACAACTTGATTGTTTAAATAAGATAAAAGTGACTTAGTTTAAGGAACAACATTCGAAATGCCAGACAACGGGAATAAATAAGGGTTTGAAAAGGGTCGCCACAGCCTAATGTCGCTAAAAGAAAGAAAATGATGGTAAATTTGCAAAAAAACCAGTGTAGCAAATACACTTTACATGAAATAATTGCATTAAAAATTCATTACTGTTGAAGCAACGGACGCCTCTACTTGTCAAGTCTCGCTTAATTTCGATTCGTTCAAAATGACTAGAGCAGGTTAGGCTACCCTCGAGGGTACCAGAACGCGGACTTTTAGAAACCTCTGCTCTCGAACGCCACAGTTATTATTTTCCGCGCCAAATGTTATGCGTTTGTTTTGCTAAGTGTTCTCCTAAGACTGGCGCGGTGTTAGTTCTTGTTGCAGTTTTTACTAGGACAAAACATAACCCTCTACTTGCTAATTACAAGCCAGCCAGCCAGCCAGCCAGGTCTATATGATTAGCGTAGAAGCTACTCAACGTAGTAAGCATTTTGAAAGCAAGCATACTTGTCAATGTAAGAGACGCTAGACAGTTGTGGTCGTTTAATTACAGAGAAGGAACTCAAGTGACCAACTACAAGGCAGTCGCACAAAGCATCGTTTCGAATGTGTGGATAATTTTTTTAAGAAAAATAACATACTGGCCTAATTAATTTCCTGTAGTCATTCAGTTAAATACCAAATTTTTTTGGCAAATGAAGTAAGTGTGAATGAAGTCTAAATATCACCAAATTGGTTTGGTTTGTAGCGTTTTTGTCGACCAACAAAGAGATTTTCTATATTTACTGGGAAAATAGGGTATCGACAAGAACTGGGCTAGTAGTTTCGTCTT